CCCATGAGTTCTCCTATCCAGCCTAGCTAGAACTTCAGCGCGCGCGCGCGCCAAGAGGGACCAGAACGAGAGGACCTCCCCAAGCCTTTCGAGCGCTTTGCCTTACGATGGCCCCAAGGTTCTCCCCAAGGCTCTCGAGGCGCTCCCCAGATGCCTTCAGAGACTCCCAGGAGGCTCCCAGGAGGGACCAAGAGCCTTCCAGGAGGCCCAGATGCCCCGACAGACATCCAGGAGACTTCTCACCCACAGCCCAGGCCTGGCAATTTGAAGAGACAAGGGGATTCCCACACTTCGTTTTTTTGTGTTTCTATCTCTCAATTGTTGAAGTGCCTTATGCATCTAACAACCTCCTTGGAGTCTCTGCGCAAGCCTCGGAAGCGTATAGAAGGGGAAATGCGGTAGCCAGAAGGCTTCTTGGGATCTTTCTTCGGTGGTGACGGGGGCCTTATGGTCTGTTGTGAAAAAATAAACAGGTGGTACGGTTGAAAAAAAGGGAATTCTGGGAATTGCTTTTTTTTCAAATCGCCATGCCTAGGCCGTGGGTCAGAAATTTCCTGGATACAGGCCGTGGTCTGTTGGGACGCCACTGGAAACCTTTTGGCGGCGTCTTGGGAGTCTTTCGGGGCCTCTTGGGAAGCTCTTGGTGGCTCCTGGGAGCCTCCTGGGAGTCTCTGCCTCGAGAGTCTTTGCGAGAACCTTGGAGCCATCTTGAGGCAAAGCGCGAACCTCTCCAGGAGTCTTCCAGGAGTCTCTGCAGGCATCTGGGGGACGACTCGAGAGCCTTGGGGAGAACCTTGGGACCACCTGGGGGCAAAGCGCTCTTAAGGCTTTGGGAGGTCCTCTTTTGTCTCTTTGTTGGCGCGCGCGGGCGCTGAAGTTCTAGCTTGGCTGGACAGGTGAACTCATGGGATCTTGATTGTTACGGTGGTTTCAGGGGCAGCCAAGAGGACACGAAGACGACCCAAGAGAGTGCCAAGACAGCGTCAGAGAGTTCAACAACATTCCCGAAACATCTTTGCAATGTGACCCCGAAGTCTTGATGGGGCTCGGGATGAACTTGAACAAAAAGAGAATCATTGGATTTTCTGTTTCTTTCAAGTGGGGCCAGCTGACATGTAGTGCGCAGGAATCGGTGGGGGCCTAGGAGGCGTGCAGGGGGCTCTTGGGAGGCATTTGAGAGGCCGCCCGGGACATTTAGGGGCAACTTCCGGTGCCGCGCCCCAGGGCGTTCCGGGGAACCCCCAAAACGCTCCAGGACGGCCCAAGACGCCCCCAAGGAGCCCACAGAACGCGAAAGGATGGCCCAAGACGCTCCCAAGCAGCCCAAGACAGACTTCCGACGGTTCTCCAGGCTCCCAAGAGGCCCCAAGAGTGCCCGAAGAGGCCTAAATCGTTGATTTTCATGTGTTTTTGTTGATGCTTGTAGCCTTCTCGCGTTTTCGAGCTTCCAACGCTCCAAGGCGGCCGAAAAGGCCCTTAAGACCGCCCCAAGACGGCTCCAAGACGGGCCAAGAAGGCCCCAAGACGGCCCATGAGCGCCCCAAGGCAGCCTAGGGATGGCCCGAAAAGCCGCCCAACAGGGGGAACGCAAATCGACAATCCCTGCTTTCCGCTCCAAGAGGCCCACAGGAGGCCCTAAGAGTCCCCCAAAGGATCTGAAGAAGCCAAAAGTGGCCCTAAAGAGGTTCTAAAACAGCCCCCCCGCGGCCTCCAAACCGCCTTCCAAGAGCCCCCTGCACGCCTCTGAGGCCCCCCCCTCCCCCCGATTCCTGCGCACTACATGTCAGCTGGCCCCACCTGAAAAGAAGGAACTCCAGTGGTTCTCTTTTTGTTGAAGTTCATCCCGAGCCCCATCAAGACTTCGGGGTCACATTGCAAAGATGTTTCGGGAATGTTGTTGAACTCTCTGACGCTGTCTTGCCACTCTCTTGTGTCGTCGTAAAAATCGAGATCCCATGAGTTCTCACCTGTCCAGCCTAGCTAGAGCGTCAGCGCCCGCGCGCGCCAAGAAAGTGACAAACGAGGGGACCTCCCAAAGCCTTACGTGCGCTTTGCCCCCAGGTGGTCCCAAGGTTCTCCCCAAGGCTCTCGAGGCGCCCCCCAGATGCCTTCAGAGACTCCCAGGAGGCTCCCAGGAGCCACCAAGAGCTTCCTAAGAGGCCCCGAACGACTTCTAAGACGCCGCCAAAAGGCCACCAGAGGCGTCCCAACAGTCCACAGCCTGTATCCAGGAAATTTCTGACCCACGGCCCAGGCATGGCAATTTGAAAAAATGGAACTCCAAGAAATCCGTTTTTCTCAGAAACGTAACGCCATTTTTTTTTTTTTCCACAACAGGCCATAATTAAGGCCCCCGTCACCACCGAACAAATATTCCAGGAAGCCTTCGAGGGGCTCACATCATCGAACACCTAAAGAGAATTGATAAGTTTGTGGTTTCCGCATTTCAACTTCTATACGCTTCCGAGGCTTGCGCAGGGACTCCATGAAGATCGTTCGATGCACAATGCACTTCAACACTTGATATTCCATGCGTTAGCCTGTCGAGCCTAGCTAGAACTTGAGCGCGCGCGAAGCGCGCGCGATGGTTTTAGTCTATATACACATGTTTGTAGGTCTACACCTATATACACACAAATAGATATGTAAATTTACAAACACAATACATACACACCGCCTACACCACACATTTTGTGCGGCCAATCAATCAAGATATCTTCGTCCAATTGTTGGGTGGAGTAGCTTACCATGCGTCGCTTCCAGTGTTGTGCCTGAAAGTTTGGTCTTCCATGTGCTGATCACCTGGCACGAGGCCATATTACTTGAATCTTACGCCACATACATACGTGTAAGCTGGAACCGCAGAGCTGTGTTGAGAGACAGTGTACATTTACGATGGCATACGAGGGTCCATCGGCTGTGGTTAAGCCGCGTCCTTCGATACCATTCTCACAGGAAGCAGCTCCTGGATTCCAGCTCAAAACAAGTAATCAACTCTTGGGTGCCTCTTGGAGCCCTCTCGGCAGTACTCGTGGCAATGCGGGGCTGCCAATGGTCGCACAAAGATAATCTCAACGGGAATCCAGCAGGAATATATCTGATTGTTTTAATCGTGTCCAATAAGATCCCAATTGGGTCCCAATAGGAACCCGATCACTTTGAGTCCTAGTGTATCCCAGAGGATCCCATTATGAGCCCAAGTGGATCGAATGGAGACTATACTACTGGGTGCCAATAGGATTCCTGAAGGAACCTACGCAATAGGAAGCCATGGGGAATCAATCTGTCTGGATTCCAATGTGGACCAATAAAATAACCCAGTAGGACTCCCATGACAAGGAAGCTTTGGACTCCATTTGGCTTCTAACAGGGTGCGACCCGGTATCCAACAGGAAGGGCTCCGATTGGATGCCAGCAGGATCCCAATCGGAACCCGATAGAGAGGAATCTAGATTCCGTTAGAGCGGAATGCTGTGGCATTCCAACATGATCGCCTCGGATCCCATTAGGAACCCATTTCGATTCCAATTGAAGGGAACTGCATTCATTCCAACAGGAGCACTACTATGAGGATGACAGTAGATAGAACCCGAAAAGGGGCCATTTCCCTTGCAAGACATGTTCCTAGACTTCATGGGGTTACATTAAGGACTTGCATGGGCATTCTGAGCTCAAAAGTATCTTCTGTTTTTGACGTGTACTTTGGGTGTGTGTCGGGCATTGAACTCTTCTGCTGGGGATTGAACCTGCTTCCAGGATTCGAACCCTTCTGCCGGGGATTGAACCCTTCTGCTGGGGATTGAACTCATCGCCCGACCCCCTTCCCAACTCGGGCTTTCTTTTTTTTTTCGGGGGGTTCCAGGCCCCCCAAATGTAAAACACAGTTATTTCTGAACGCTCCCCCAAACACGCACCGAAAAAACCCGACCAACACAAATCCATCTTGGGGGTTTTCCTTGTGATTTTTCGGGGGTTCTCCGGCCAACCCAGGCTCCAGGGGAAAATCTCCCCCCTAAAAAATCCAACTCCCGTGTTCAACAATCTTGGTAGGGCCCCGCTATGTTGCCCCCCCCCTCCCGCAGCTCGCGAAAGTGGCGACAGTTTCGCAGATTGCAGCCCCCCAAGGAAGGGCGAGGTGTAATCTGAATCTGGGTAGTGCCCCCCCCCCCCCCCCACACTGCTGGGCCTCCCAGCAGCTTTCGAAAGTGGCGATAGTTTCACGTATCGCAGCCCCCCAAGGAAGGACGGCAAGGCAAGAGGCAGACTAGCAGGCAAGCTCAAGCCAGGTAGCAGGCAGTAGAGAAGAGGAGAAGGGGAAAGAGGAGGAGGCAGACGGGAGGATAGCGACAACAGCAGGCAGGAGGAGGGAGGCGGGAGGAGAAGACGCGCGACCAGTGCTCTGTTCAAAACGAGAACCTGAACCTGACAACGGAGGGTTTGGGAAAAAGGAGACTGTACGCGCGCGCGCGTGTGTGTGTGTGTGTGTGTGTGTGTGTGTGTGTGTGTGTGTGTGTGTGTGTGTGCGTGCGTGCGTGCGTGCGTGCGTGCGTGCGTGCGTGCGTGCGTGCGTGCGTGCGTGCGTGCGTGTGTATGCGTGCGTGTGTATGTGTGCGTGCGTGCGTGCGTGCGTGCGTGTGCGTGTGTTCGTGTGTGTGTGTGTGTTTGTGTGTGTGTGTGCGCGCGCGCGCGTGTGCGTGTGTGTGTGTGTGTGTGTATGTGTGTGTGTGTGTCTGTGTGTGTGTATGTGGCGTGGGGCGGGGAACATCTTCCTGGCCTTCCCTTTCCCTCCGCGCCCTTCTCGCCCTCATATCTCTCTCTCTCTCTTTTCTTCCCTCTCTCTCTCTCTCCCCCTGCGTGTATATCCTTATACATATACATATATGTACTTCTCTCTCTTTCCCCACCTCCTGTGTCTCCCCCTTCTCTCTCATTCCCTCCACTCTCTCTCTCTCTCTCTTTTGTTTCTCTCTCTCTCTCTCTCTTTCCTCTTTGGACATCAGGCTGCGGACGACGACCTGCTGGCAGAGTTTGACATCCAGGATGGGCGGCTACAGGAGGAGGAGGAGGAGGAAGACCAGTGCAAACCCAAGAGTCATCAACGACGTTGGAGTACACCCACCCTCCAAGCTCCCTCTTCATAGGCCCCTACAACGGTTCATTTCCATTGGTGGAACTGTCTCGTTGGAAGGCACCATTTTGAAGACCCTGAAGCATGCCAGAACATTGTTTTCGGGATTCCAACGCCACGGATCAACCTGACTGTTGCGTCTTGACGGTCCTGAATCGTGCCAGAAAGCCCTTCCTAGGACTTCGACACAGGGAATCAAAGTAACTGTTGCACCCGCATAATCGTGAATCCTTCCAAAACACAATGTCTGGTACGTTGGTGATGGGAACCCGTAAAACTCCTGCAATTTTTGAATGCGAATGTGCGCGGCGCTAAGGCGAGAGCCACATTTTGAAAAGGAACCGCCCTCAAGCCATAAATCTCTTGTAAATTTTCAAAACGAAGGGGCGCGGCGCTAAAGCGAGAGCCACATTTTGAAAACGACTCGCCCTCAATCCGTGAAACCCTTGCACATTTTGAAAACGAATGTTCGCGGCGCAAAGGCGAGAGCCACATTTGCCCTCAATCCGTGAAGCTATTGCAAAGTTTGAAAACGAAAGTGCGCCGCGCTAAGGCGAGCGCCACATTTAGAAAACCACCCGCCCTCAATCCGTGAAGCTCTTGTAGTTTTTTTGGAACGAATGTGCGCCGCGCTAAAGCGAGAGCCACATTTTGAAAACCACCCGCCCTCTATCTGCAACACTCTTGCCACTTTTTAAGCTTCAGAGTCATACGTGGTGAGGAAGTCTCAGAAGAAACGCCTGGCCTGCCCTAAAAACTGGCTTCGGGGTGCGACAAGGAGAAGTTATTCATAAGGAAAGGGAATGGAGGAGGAGGAGGAGGAAGAGGAGGAGGAAGAGGAGGAGGAGGAGTAGGAGGCGGAGGATGATGATGAGGAGGAGGACGAGAACATGCACGCGGAGGGGGAACGGAAAGGGAAGACGCGCAGGGACAGGAGGCGGAAGAGGAGACCGGTTTGGAGGAGCAGGAGGACGAGGAGGATGGTGGATGGACACAGCCTGGAGGCGCACAGCTCTGGGGGGACTCGCGCGCCGGCCATGCAGGAGGACGGTGCTGCACAGGCGGGGGCACGGGCAGGCGCCCAGCTTGCCCAGTGGAGGCAGGCACAGTACGGAGGGGGAGCCATCTCGAAACTTTTGGGGCCTGCAGCGCACGGCTGTGACTGGCCGAGGGCGAGGCTGCGACAGCCCCCCCCCCCCTCAGCTTCATCCGTCGGAGTCGCCCGATCCCGCTGGCACTGCGGCAGCAACGGGAGGGGGGACGTCCGCTTCCTCCCGAAGAGGCTCCACGACCCGCCCAGGCTGCCTCCTGCCGTCAGAGGGCCCGGGAGGGGGCGAGCTTGCAGCGGCGGCGGCTGGGGGCGTGGCAGGGGGACCTCGCAAAGGTGCAGTGCGTCGCCTGTCCTGTGCATCACCCCCTTCCCAGGAGAGAGGGCTCGAGAAGGGGCGAGCCCGTAGCGGCGGCGGCTGGGGGCGTGGCAGGGGTACCTCCCGAATGTGCAGTGCGTCTGCAGTGCGTCGCCTGCCCTGTGCGTCGCCCCCTTCCAGGAGGAGGAACTGGCAGTGACGACTCTCGAAGGTACATCCGCCTCTCCCGCCCTGCACACCACAGCCAGGCGTAGCAAGCACTGCATCAGAGTGCACAGACGGCAGCTCATAGTCGTGAAGAGCCCTTTCAGACTTGGGGTTGAGCCCACCGGGAGCATACTTAGTTTTCTGAGCCTGGTTCGCGCGGGTACTTCGGATGGGCACCGCGCCCATTGCACTCGAGGCTAAGGCAACACATACGCGCTGCAAACGGAGCAAACGACAACGCGGCTAGTTTTTTTCACAGAGTGACTTAGGGGCTCCTCGAGCCGTCTCAAGTCTAAAGTTTGTGACTTGCAGGGGTTACAGATTTCGGGTCCCAAAAGTTGGTCCGCACAAGCCAGAGCAGTTTGTACGGCCTCACTGGCCATCGGGGTCCCGCGATGCCCATGGGCCAGGACGAGCTCGACAGCCTGCCACGCTTGTACCGCTGTGGACCCACACACTGACCGACCTCCAGATCGGAGCTGTAGGAGGGAGGCAGGCGTATGACCGAACAGGTTACATCTTCTGCACCTCCACTGACCTCTCAGGGAAGTGGCAGAGATCGTGCTGAGACAGACATGCTTTCGGTGCTGTATCCGCTCGGACTTGCAGAACCCCGTTGGGGCTGTCAACCGCCATCGCCGCAGCAGACTGATCTGTTTGAAACATCGAAATCGCGCTTCTGATGGGCCTTCTGGACCTTCTGGACCTCGTCTGTTGTCTTAGCTATGGTGTGAGCCTCTGCACCCACACGCGCGAAAAAAGCAGCTCAGAAGTTCTCACGAGAATCCTGTTTGTCCTGGGCCGAAGAAGGTGACTCAAGGTCCTTCCAATCCCTGTGTGCTTCACCCAGACGAGGGATGGCCTCAAACAGCAGCCTTGGTTCCTCCAGATCCCATCATGCGTACAGAGGCCCTGTTCGAGCACAGGGTCCCAAGGCTGGCCCTCCACAACAGCTCCTTGGCGGTCTGAACTTCTCTCCGCGTCGTGGGGACCGTGCCGAAGCGCCTGCAATATCGCAAATCTCTCGGCCTTTGGCACCGCCTGACACCTTCAGGGGAGGGGGCCGAATACCGCGGTGAGGAAGCCCATCAGGGCAAAGGTCCACAGCAGCGTACCCACACCGTCTGAGTTCAGGGCTGTTGCTCTCCAACCCTGAACCGTCAGTGCAGATGCGACTGCTCCAAGGCACTCCGACCGCTCCCCAGGAATAGACGGGGAGGTCGGGGGGGGGGCGGCAGGGACCTCGAAATGGGGACAAGGGATACAATTCGCAAGCTCGAGCGTGTTCCAGTCTGGGTCTCCCAGCCTGCTTTCCCCTTGCTCCCGATGCGACCTCCTCCATTCCACGAATGTCATCCGTTTACGCCGATCCCACTCGTCGGGAAGTCGAGCACCTCGTCGCAGTCGTCAAACATGTGGCCGAGGGTCCCTGGGACTCCTCCAGAACAAGACGGGCAGAGGTCCGACTGACCGAAACCCGCTGCTTCACGCGGAGACGGTGGCCACATGGCCGACCCGACCAGGCACCTGGCTGCTCCTCGACGCTCGAGGCCTGCATTTTTTAGGGCCCCCCCCCGGCGGCGTCCCCTCATCCAGGGGAACGAGAGGAGGAGGAGGAGGAGGAGGAGGAGGAGGGGAGGAGGAGGAGGAGGAGGAGGAGGAGGAGGAGGAGGGGAGGAGGGAGGAGGAGGAGGAGGAGGAGGAGAGAGGAGGAGGAGGAGGAGGAGGAGGAGGAGGAGGAGGAGGAGAGGAGGAGGGAGGAGGAGGAGGAGGAGGAGGAGGAGGAGAGGAGGGAGGAGGAGGAGGAGGAGGAGGAGGAGGGAGGAGGAGGAGGTGAGGAGGAGGAGGAGGAGGACGAGGAGGAGGAGGAGGAGGAGGAGGAGGAGGAGGAGGAGGAGGAGGAGGAGGAGGAGGAGGAGGAGGAGGAGGAGGAGGAGGAGGAGGGGAGCTGCGAGCAGGATAGTTTCCAGAGAATCGATATGTGCGCCCCCTGGCACTCAGAGTCCTCTGAGGGGCCCTGCTTGGTGAGGGTCACGCTGCCCCTGTCCGTTCTGCCTCCTGCATGAGGGCCAAGCGAGGATGCGGATTGGGAGAGAGGAGGGAGGGCGGGAGGCCAAGAGGCAGGATGTGATGAGGGCAGGAGGCCAATCACATGAGGATACCCATGGGGGCGACGACGATGACGAGGGCGATTAGGATGCCCAGAAGGTAGGGCGTAATGGGGGGCACGGGGCCAACGGCCAACACCACAACGATAACGAAGGGCGGCCAGGGGGACGATGATGACGACGATGCGCACGCTGCTGATGGATGGTGGTGATGGTGATGGTGGCGACGATGGTGAGGATGATGGTGATGATTCTGCTGGTGATGAGGATGCTGCTGCTGCTGATGCTGATGATGATGAGGGTGATGCTGATGCTTATGATAATGATGTTGATGATGTTGTCGGTGGTGACGGCAGTCCGTGTTGTGGTGATGATAAGGTTGCTGCTGATGACGATGTTGACGGTGACGATTTGGATGACGACGATGATGATATCCGACGCCGAAGGTGATGTTGCTTATGAAGACGGTACTCATGTTGATGATCATGTTGTTGATGATGATGATGATGCGGATGCTGCTGATGACGATGACGATGAAGTTTATGATGTTGACGAAGATGATGGCTCTGCAGATGATGATTGATGACGATGCCACTGATGACGATTGTGATGATAAGAGTGAGGATAGCAGTGAGGCTGATGATGCTGCTGATTCTGATGCTGTGACTGGTGATGATGCCGATGATGATGACAACGATGCTGATGTTCATTCTGATGATGACGATGCTGATACTGATGATGATGCTGCTGATGATGCTGACGATGATGATGCAACTGATGATGCTGATGATGATGCTGCTGCTGAGGCTGATGATGTTGATGATGATGATGATGATGATGATGATTATTATGATGCTGCTGCTGCTGATGATGATGATTCGGATTACGATGATGACGCTGATGATGATGATGCTGATGTTGATGATGTTGATGCTGATTCTGCTGCTGACTATGATGATGGTGGTGATGATGATTAGGATGATGATGATGATGATGATGATGATGATGATGATGATGATGATGATGATGATGATGATGATGATGATGACGGTGATGATTATGATGCTGCTGCTGCTGCTGATGTTTATGATGGTGGTGGTGGTGATGGTGATGCTGCTGCTGCTGCTGCTGCTGATGATGATGATGATGATGATGAGGATGATGGTGGTGGTGGCGACGGCGATATCAGTGACGATGGTGATTCTGATTAGATAGGCTTACGCCACATCC